CATTCTTCTTAAAGTTCCCGGGGTTGTTATACGAGGCCTCTCATCACTTAATATGAGTGCTGTGTCATATTAAGAGATCAGTGCTTAGTGCTTCTGGGGTTGAATAGTGTCTGGTCAACGCGATCCTAATTCCCAGTGGCTCGCGCACCTGTACAGAGGCGCAACGTATCAGGCAGCAACACCCTACAGTAGCTCCTGCTACATCAGGCAGCAACACCCTACAGTAGCTCCTGCTACACCAGGCAGCAACACCCTACAGTAGCTCCTGCTACATCAGGCAGCAACACCCTACAGTAGCTCCTGCTACATCAGGCAGCAACACCCTACAGTAGCTCCTGCTACACCAGGCAGCAACACCCTACAGTAGCTCCTGCTACATCAGGCAGCAACACCCTACAGTAGCTCCTGCTACATCAGGCAGCAACACCCTACAGTAGCTCCTGCTACACCAGGCAGCAACACCCTACAGTAGCTCCTGCTACACCAGGCAGCAACACCCTACAGTAGCTCCTGCTACACCAGGCAGCAACACCCTACAGTAGCTCCTGCTACACCCGGCAGCAACACCCTACGTAGCTCCTGCTACACCAGGCAGCAACACCCTACAGTAGCTCCTGCTACACCAGGCAGCAACACCCTACAGTAGCTCCTGCTACACCAGGCAGCAACACCCTACAGTAGCTCCTGCTACACCAGGTAGCAACACCCTACAGTAGCTCCTGCTACACCAGGTAGCAACACCCTACAGTAGCTCCTGCTACATCAGGCAGCAACACCCTACAGTAGCTCCTGCTACACCAGGCAGCAACACCCTACAGTAGCTCCTGCTACACCAGGTAGCAACACCCTACAGTAGCTCCTGCTACACCAGGCAGCAACACCCTACAGTAGCTCCTGCTACATCAGGCAGCAACACCCTACAGTAGCTCCTGCTACACCAGGCAGCAACACCCTACAGTAGCTCCTGCTACACCAGGCAGCGACACCCTACAGTAGCTCCTGCTACACCAGGTCGCCCTGGGTGTGGCTGGTCGCCCTGGTTGTGGCGGGTCACCTGGGTGTGGCGAGTCGCCCTGGGTGTGGCGGGTCGCCCTGGGTGTGGCGGGTCACCCTGGGTGTGGCGGGTCACCCTGGGTGTGGCGGGTCGCCCTGGGTGTGGCGCAGGTCACAGGTACGACAGGTGGTGTCTGATAGCCACCTTCACAAACACCAACTGCCCTGAGAGCGCTGAAGAGCACCAGGAGAGCGTTTATCACTGGATTTAAAGCACTCAAGAGCTCCTGGAGACTTACCAAGAGGTGTAGAGTGCATGAGCTTCCCTCACATGCACTCGAGAGGGTTATGAGAGAGCGAGCTCATTGTGTCCGTGTTTTGTGTGTGTGGCATTATAACTTTAAGAGAAAACTATATAGTTTTCTTCAAGGAGTGCCGGACCAACCAAGCTGTGGTGGGTATGTGGGCCTGTGGGCCGCTCCAGGGAACAGCCTGGTGGACCAAGCTGGACCAAATCAAGCCTGGTCTCGGGCCGGGCTTGGGGAGTAGAAGAACTCTCAGAACCTCATCCAGGTACAATCCAGGTATATACGCAAGCTCAACTCATGGTGTATTGGGGTGAGGTTTAAACAACAACAACATTTTTGTCAACACTACATATTAAACACTTTATCACTAACACAAATATCAATTAGCCCACGATTTCTGCAACGCTACGTAAGTCAGAGTTCTGGCACCAACAACCTGGCTGATCAAGCCATCAGGAAGGCCAACTGGTGGTAAATCATTAATAAATAACTCGGTGATTCTTAATTCCCTCTTGAATGGGGCTGTCTTAACGAGTGGACTAGACTCGTTTGGTCAGGCTGTCCATGTGATTGTTTCAGCTGTCACTGTTTTGTGCCTCGTTCTCTAGCCAGAGCCTCCTGGATTACGGCTGATCAGTCAGGCTGTTGGTGCTTTAAACTACCCGCCTGACATTGGTCTACGATCTGCTCCGATAATAGCCTTTTGGACCACGTTTTGCGGAATAGAACCACTCCCAGACTTCACCCACAGATATACTCCACGTATACTCCAGGTATACTTCAAATATACTTCACATACGCTCCATGTATACTTAAATATTCTAACACCTCGTCACGACTTATCATATTTGTGTTGTTTCAACTGGCCAAGGCCATAGTCTGCTATACAGAGAGAAAAGTGTTAACTTTTTGTATTTACAAACATTTATGAAATAGAAGGGCGCCCATGTTTTTGTTATCGGATATATCGACCTATTTTTCATTATCGGTATTTGTGATATCGTCCAGTTTTTCAGTGTTGGTGGTATATGCCGAGTTTTACCATATCAGAATCGGAAAAAATATTACTAAGTATCGGTATCGAAATGTCTCATGTAGACTAGTATTGTTCACCCGGACGACAACAGTCCGGGTGGACTGTTGGACTCTGTTGGCCTCTAACCGTTCCATTGCTCGGACCCTGAACCGGTCCATTGCTCGGACTCTGAACCGGTTCATTGCTCGGACCCAGAACCGGTCCACACATTGGACTCTAATCATTCATACTTACTCTTCCACTGGGATAACCAAACAGAATCTACTGGCTAAGTATATAATATTTAGGTTATATCACCCCCCCCCCCACCCCCTTCAAAGACAGCATATATCCCTATATGTGGTACTTATCTAAGCCGTGATGATATAATCTCATGGCTCACGCGACCTCCAAATGGTCTAAATATATATATATATATAATTATATATATATATATATATATATATATATATATATATATATATATATATATATATATATATATATATATATATGGTATCACAGTGAACCCTGGAAGAATGGCAAGCAGTTGGTATGGGACTACACGTGCGTATCAACCCTGGCTAACACCTACATTAACCTCAGTGTTGCACAACCAGGTGGCGCTGCCACCCACAGGGAAGCAGCCAAATCCCGTAAGTATAGAGAACTGGATCACCACTACAATTTTGTCCCCATTGCTTCTGAGATGCTCGGCGCCTGGGGTAAAAGTGCTACCAGTTTTTTGAAGGAACTGGGTTCTAGGCTCATTGAAACAACAAGGGACCCGAGAGCTGCAAGCTTTCTTTTCCAGCGCCTCAGTGTGGCGATACAGAGGGGAAATGCGCACTGCATCCAGGGTTCCTGCCCGCCATCTGAGGAGCTGGAGGAACTCGACAACCTATGACAACCATCTTTGTAACCCATATGTAACTCCTTTTTTGTAACAAAGTTCAAATAAAGTAAATATATATGTGTACATACAAAAGAATGGGGGTGGTAGGAGAAGATAATATTAGTGTTCAGTGAGAAACCACAAGGTCTCCTCTGAATACTTTTTATTTTCTTCTCCGAGGCTATGGGTCCCCACATTGGCACCAGAGGTGGTACCCTCACAAACTTTTTATATATATATATCTATATATATATATATATATATATATATATATATATATATATATATATATATATATATATATATATATATATATATATATATATATATATATATATATATATATATATATATATATATATATATATATATATATATATATATATATATATATATATATATATATATCGTGAAAAGTTACCCGACATTTCCGTAAATATAACAATTTTACAAGACTAATTATAGTTATCCTTAGTGTACACTCCTAAATAATTCTGGCTTTAATGAAGGGCTTACGGTAATCACAAAGTTGAGCGCAATATTCGTAATTGTACTGTTTGTACTCTGCAGTTATGTACAATTACCGTAATTGTTCTGTACTATTCAGCCGTTTTTTATTATAATAATCGACAAATATTACTAAATGTCGCACAACGTTGGTCCAGGGTAAGATCCCTTACTAGGGGACAGCTGCACTACAGCTGCAGCACAGCAGCGCTACAGCTGCAGCACAGCAGCGCTACAGGTGCGCTACAACTGTGCTACAGCTGCACTACAGCTGCGCTACAGCTGCGCTACAGCTGCACTACAGCTGTACTACAGCTGCACTACAGCTGCAGACAAGCCGAGGCTTCCTGCAGCTTCCCCTGGCGCATGTTCCAGTCCTGTGCTGACACAGGGATCACACCTAGATCACCAGAGTGTAGACACCTGATGATTGACGGTTGAGAGGCGGAACCAAAGAGCCAGAGCTCAACCCCCGCAAACACAACTAGGTGAGTACAACTAGGTGAGTACCTGGGCCCCTAACTCAGCCTCCTGCTGAGTCCTCCTCCATTACCGTCCAAGTGGTTGGGCACCATTCCTTTCCCCTATCCTAACCCCCAATCCTTATCCTGACCACTTCCTAGTGCTATCTTGAGGTTATCTTGAGATGATTTCTGGGCTTAGCGTCCCCGCGGCCTCGTCAAGGCCTCCTTTTTGTTACCCCCCCCCCCCAGGAAGCAGTCCGTAGCAGCTGTCTAACTCCCAGGTACCTATTTACTGCTAGGTAACAGGGGCATCAGGGCGAAAGAAACATTTTGCCCATTTGTCTCCGCCTCGAACCCGGAACCTCAGGACTACGAATCCGAATCACTGTCCACTCAGCTGTCACTCAGCTGTCAGGCACTCAGCTGTCAGGAACTCAGCTGTCAGGTGCTATATAGTGGTAATGGATTGGCGCTTTTTCCTGATGGTTCCGTTCCTCCCTCCACATGCTGCTCCTGTATGATATCTTGCAATCCTACCTGTCAATGTACGTCTTCTCTGAGATAACCTAGCCTTCACTACAACCCCGTGTTATACTCACCCCCTTCACTACAACCCCGTGTTATAACCACCCCCTTCACTACAACCCCGTGTTATAACCCCTTCACACAACCCCTTCACTACAACCCCGTGTTATAACCACCCCCTTCACTACAACCCCGTGTTATAACCACCCCCTTCACTACAACCCCGTGTTATAACCACCCCTTCACTACAACCCCGTGTTATACTCACCCCTTTGACTACAACCCCGTTGTAGTCAAGGGGTTGTAGTCCAGCGACCTACGTACCTGCGTCCCAGCGACCCCAGCGACCTGCGCCATCTCCAGCGACCCCCAGCGCCACCCCAGCGACCTGCGCCATCTCCCGACCTGCGCCATCTCCCAGCCCCAGCGACCTGCGCCATCTCCCAGCGACCCCAGCGACCTGCGACCCCATCTCCCAGCGACCCCAGCGATCCCCAGCGACATCTCCCAGCGACCCCAGCGACCTGCGCCATCTCCCAGCGACCCCAGCGACCTGCGCCGTCTCCCAGCGACCCCCGACCTGCGCCGTCTCCCAGTGAGCGCCATCTCCCAGCGACCCCAGTGACCTGCGCCATCTCCCAGCGACCCCAGCGACCTACGTCATCTCCCAGCGACCCCAGCGACCTGCGCCATCTCCCAGCGACCCCAGCGACCTGCGCCGTCTCCCAGCGACCCCGACCTGCGCCATCTCCCAGCGACCCCAGCGACCTGCGCCATCTCCCAGCGACCCCAGCGACCTGCGCCATCTCCCAGCGACCCCAGTGACCTGCGCCATCTCCCAGTGACCTGCGCCATCTCCCAGTGACCTGCGCCATCTCCCAGTGACCTGCGCCATCTCCCAGCGACCCCAGTGACCTGCGCCATCTCCCAGCGACCCCAGCGACCTGCGCCGTCTCCCAGCGACCCCAGTGACCTGCGCCATCTCCCAGCGACCCCAGTGACCTGCGCCATCTCCCAGCGACCCCAGCGACCTGCGCCACACACAACACAGGTCAGGCGTCACGCAGCAATTAAACACAACATCCCCCACCATCTTGGCTGCTCTGAGAGGCAAGTAACAGTGTGCACTATACGGCCCCAGACACCCTCACGTGCCACCACCCGCGGCACAGTACCGTGAATATGCTCACGTGTCCAGTACTTCACTACACACTACACCCTGGCCTACACCCATAATACACTACACCCTGCGCCATCTCCCAGCGACCTGCGCAATCTCCCAGCGACCCCAGCCATCTCCCAGCGACCCCAGCCATCTCCCAGCGACCCCAGCCACAACACTACACCCTGCGCCACTACACCCATAATATACTACACCCTGACCTACACCCATAGGGCAGGTTACTACACTACACAACACCCTGGCGTAGACCCACACAACACTACACCCTGACGTACACCCACACAACACTACACCCTGGCGTAGACCCACACAACTACTACACCCTGGTCTACACCCACATAACACTACACCCTGACGTACACCCACATAACACTACACCCTGACGTACACCCACATAACACTACACCCTGGTCTACACCCCACATAACACTACACCCTGGCCTACACCACACACACACTACACCCTGACCTACACCCACACAACACTACACCCTGGCGTACACCCACACAACACTACACCCTGACCTACACCCACACAACACTACACCCTGGCCTACACCCACACAACACTACACCCTGGCCTACACCCACACAACACTACACCCTGGCCTACACCCACACAACACTACACCCTGGCCTACACCCACACTACACTACACCCTGACGTACACCCACACAACACTACACCCTGACGTACACCCACACAACACTACACCCTGACGTACACCCACACAACACTACACCCTGGCCTACACCCACACAACACTACACCCTGACGTACACCCACACAACACTACACCCTGACGTACACCCACACAACACTACACCCTGGCCTACACCCACACAACACTACACCCTGGCCTACACCCACACAACACTACACCCTGACGTACACCCACACAACACTACACCCTGACGTACACCCACACAACACTACACCCTGACGTACACCCACACAACACTACACCCTGACGTACACCCACACAACACTACACCCTGACGTACACCCACACACTACACCCTTACACCCTGACGTACACCCACACAACACTACACCCTGACGTACACCCACACAACATTACACCCTGACGTACACCCACACAACACTACACCCTGATGTACACCCACACACCACCATAACTAAGAACGTTACACACCCTCGCGGATATACACCAATGTTTCTCAACATTCCACTTTATAGTGCAACCTTTACAACAAACACCAATCAATGACCCTATCCACCAGACGCCTATCCACCAGTCGCCTATCCACCAGACGCCTATCCACCAGTCGCCTATCCACCAGACGCCTATCCACCAGTCGCCTATCCACCAGACGCCTATCCACCAGACGCCTATCCACTAGACGCCTATCCACCAGACGCCTATCCACCAGTCGCCTATCCACCAGACGCCTATCCACCAGTCGCCTATCCACCAGACGCCTATCCACCAGACGCCTATCCACCAGACGCCTATCCACCAGACACCTATCCACCAGACGCCTATCCACCAGACACTTATCCACCAGACGCCTATCCACCAGACGCCTATCCACCAGACGCCTATCCACCAGACGCCTATCCACCAGACGCCTATCCACCAGACGCCTATCCACCAGACGCCTATCCACCAGACACCTATCCACCAGACGCCTATCCACCAGACACTTATCCACCAGACGCCTATCCACCAGACGCCTATCCACCAGTCGCCTATCCACCAGACCTATCCACCAGCCTTTCCACCGCCTATCCACCAGACGCCTATCCACCAGACACCTATCCACCAGACACCTATCCACCAGACGCCTATCCACCAGTCGCCTATCCACCAGACGCCTATCCATCAGACGCCTATCCACCAGATGCCTATCCACCAGACGCCTATCCACCAGACACCTATCCACCAGACGCCTATCCACCAGACACCTATCCACCAGACACCTATCCACCAGACGCCTATCCACCAGACGCCTATCCACCAGTCGCCTATCCACCAGACGCCTATCCACCAGACTCCTATCCACCAGACGCCTATCCACCAGACGCCTATCCACCAGACGCCTATCCACCAGACGCCTATCCACCAGACGCCTATCCACCAGACGCCTATCCACCAGACACTTATCCACCAGACGAGTATCCACCAGACACCTATCCACCAGACGCCTATCCACCAGACGCCTATCCACCAGTCGCCTATCCACCAGACGCCTATCCACCAGACGCCTATCCACCAGACGCCTATCCACCAGACACCTATCCACCAGACACCATTTACGCACCTCACGCACTGCGTAAATGGGCTTTTAATTCATAATAATTATATACCCATTTACGCATTGTTCTAACGCCCCCTTGCACTTATTCCCACCAACAGTTTAATGAGCTAAGTCTTCTTAGCGTTCGCCAGCGTCAGAACCATTAACAAATTTATGGAAGTCTTTCTCAAAAGTAATTATTTAATTAACATAGAAAACACCCACATTTATTTAAATACAAATAATTCGCAATTTCAAGTTATCTGGAATGGCCCCTGATACACTATTAATTTATTTATTAATTTATAATTTGTCATTTAAAAAAAAATGCTGATTCATATGGGCAGGGTGGTAGCGTGTATTAAGGGCAGGGTGGTAGTGTGTATTAAGGGCAGGGTGGTAGTGTGTATTAAGGGCAGGGTGGTAGTGTGTATTAAGGGCAGGGTGGTAGGGTGTATTAAGGGCAGGGTGGTAGTGTGTATTAAGGGCAGGGTGGTAGTGTGTATTAAGGGCAGGGTTGTAGTGTGTATTAAGGGCAGGGTGGTAGGGTGTATTAAAGGCATGGTGGTAGCGTGTATTAAGGGCAGGGTTGTAGGGTGTATTAAGGGCAGGGTGGTAGTGTGTATTAAGGGCAGGGTGGTAGTGTGTATTAAGGGCAGGGTTATAGGGTGTATTAAGGGCAGGGTGGTAGGGTGTATTAAGGGCAGGGTGGTAGGGTGTATTAAGGGCAGGGTGGCAGTGTGTATTAAGGGCAGGGTTGTAGGGTGTATTAAGGGCAGGGTGGTAGGGTGTATTAAGGGCAGGGTGGTAGGGTGTATTAAGGGCAGGGTGGTAGGGTGTATTAAGGGCAGGGTTGTAGGGTGTATTAAGGGCAGGGTGGTAGGGTGTATTAAGGGCAGGGTGGTAGGGTGTATTAAGGGCAGGGTGGTAGTGTGTATTAAGGGCAGGGTTGTAGGGTGTATTAAGGGCAGGGTGGTAGGGTGTATTAAGGGCAGGGTTGTAGTGTGTATTAAGGGCAGGGTGGTAGCGTGTATTAAGGGCAGGGTGGTAGTGTGTATTAAGGGCAGGGTGGTAGCGTGTATTAAGGGCAGGGTGGTAGGGTGTATTAAGGGCAGGGTGGTAGGGTGTATTAAGGGCAGGGTGGTAGTGTGTATTAAGGGCAGGGTGGTAGGGTGTATTAAGGGCAGGGTGGTAGGGTGTATTAAGGGCAGGGTGGTAGGGTGTATTAAGGGCATGGTGGTAGGGTGTATTAAGGGCATGGTGGTAGTATGTATTAAGGGCAGGGTGGTAGGGTGTATTAAGGGCAGGGTGGTAGAGTGTATTAAGGGCAGGGTGGTAGAGTGTATTAAGGGCAGGGTTGGGGTAGGGTGTATTAACGGCAGGGTTGGGGTAGGGTGTATTAACGGCAGGGTTGGGGTAGGGTGTATTAAGGGCCGGGTTGTGGTAGGGTGTATTAAGGGCAGGGTTGTGGTAGGGTGTATTAAGGGCAGGGTTGTGGTTGGGTGTATTAAGGGCAGGGTTGTGGTAGGGTGTATTAAGGGCAGGGTTGTGGTAGGGTGTATTAAGGGCAGGGTTGTGGTAGGGTGTATTAAGGGCAGGGTTGTGGTAGGGTGTATTAAGGGCAGGGTTGTGGTAGGGTGTATTAAGGGCAGGGTTGTGGTAGGGTGTATTAAGGGCAGGGTTGTGGTAGGGTGTATTAAGGGCAGGGTTGTGGTAGGGTGTATTAAGGGCAGGGTTGTGGTAGGGTGTATTAAGGGCAGGGTTGTGGTAGTGTGTATTAAGGGCAGGGTTGTGGTAGGGTGTATTAAGGGCAGGGTTGTGGTAGGGTGTATTAAGGGCAGGGTTGTGGTAGGGTGTATTAAGGGCAGGGTTGTGGTAGGGTGTATTAAGGGGCCGGGTTGTGGTAGGGTGTATATTAAGGGCGGGTTGTGGTAGGGTGTTATTAAGGGCAGGGTTGTGGTAGGGTGTATTAAGGGCAGGGTTGTGGTTGGGTGTATTAAGGGCAGGGTTGTGGTAGGGTGTATTAAGGGCAGGGTTGTGGTAGGGTGTATTAAGGGCAGGGTTGTGGTAGGGTGTATTAAGGGCAGGGTTGTGGTAGGGTGTATTAAGGGCAGGGTTGTGGTAGGGTGTATTAAGGGCAGGGTTGTGGTAGGGTGTATTAAGGGCAGGGTTGTGGTAGGGTGTATTAAGGGCAGGGTTGTGGTAGGGTGTATTAAGGGCAGGGTTGTGGTAGGGTGTATTAAGGGCAGGGTTGTGGTAGGGTGGATTAAGGGCAGGGTTGTGGTAGGGTGTATTAAGGGCAGGGTTGTGGTAGGGTGTATTAAGGGCAGGGTTGTGGTAGGGTGTATTAAGGGCAGGGTTGTGGTAGGGTGTATTAAGG